CCCTTCATGGGGGAGGTCTGCTAGTCTGTGGTCAGCCTTCATGATGGGGGGCCTGCTAGTCTGCAGTCACCCTTCATGGGCGGGGCCTGCTAGTCTGCGGTCACCCTTCATGGGGGCGTCTGCTAGTCTGTGGTTAGCCTTCATGATGGGGGGCCTCCTAGTCTGCGGTCAGCCTTCATGGGGGGTCTGCTAGTCTGTGGTCAGCCTTCATGATGGGATCTCCTAGTCTGCGGTCACCCTTCATGGGGGGGTCTGCTAGTCTGCGGTCAGCCTTCGTGGGGGGGTCTGCTAGTCTGTGGTCACCCTCCATGATGGGGGGCCTCCTAGTCTGCGGTCAGCCTTCATGGGGGGGTCTGCTAGTCTGTGGTCACCCTCCATGATGGGGGGCCTGCTAGTCTGTGGTCACCCTTCATTGGGGGTTCTGCTAGTCTGTGGTCAGCCTTCATGATGGTATCTCCTAGTCTGTGGTCACCCTTCATGATGGGATCTCCTAGTCTGCGGTCAGCCTTCATGGGGGGTGGATCGGCTAGGTTGTGATCAGTAAGAACCTGCAGTACCCTGTGCTTACTAGGGCCAGCACTTCAGGGAGTACCATTCACAAAGCTCACCATGGCAGTGACACCCCCTGGAACTGAGCGTGTTCAGGCCAGATGTGAAACGTGGGCTCTAGGACAGTCAGGACGTGAGCAGGGAGACACTGTGGTAAATGGAACATGCTCTCTTGGATGCGAAGACCTGAGTTTGATTCCTGATTCTGCTAGCTGAGTGGTCTTGGAAAAGTCCCTCCCTCCCTCCCTCTTAAATCACTCCCTCTGGCCCGTTCCTCCTGTTGGTTTTCTCCCTATCCCATTTACCTCATAGGTTCCAGCTGGATGGGGAATGGGACTTCCTCTTAGAAATGACCAAACGAGGCAAAAGGTGGAAAACCCAAGTCTCTGTGGGGCTGAGCAAGTTGTGGAGTTAGTCCCATTGGCTGGGAAGGAGGCACTAGGAAGCAGTGGGGGATGGGTACACTGGAGGGGTCCGGGGCAGCTGATTATCAGGGAATGTGGGTCTAGTGGGCCAGAACTCCCACCTGCCCCAGAGAAAGCAGAAATCTGCTCTGCTGTGTTTTGTTGGCAACTAATCCAGAAATTGACAACACATGACATGAGTTTCAAACAAAGCATGCAGGCTTCTCCTAGGCTTGTAGTCATTCTCTCTGCACCTTTGCCTGCCCCGCCTACCTGAAACCCACCTCTTAGGAGGGACTGAGGGCCCAGGGCCGTGTCCTGTCCAGAGGAGCCCCAAGCACATAAGTGGGCTAATCTGGAATAAGAGCCGATAGGGCCTGGATGGAGCCGATTTACTGTTCAACTGAGATATGCAGGTCAGAGGCTGAACGGAGGGAGGGTCTGGGGAGAAGGTGGGCACTCCCTGCACCCGGAGTGGACAAGTGACTGGCCCCTGTGGCCAGGTGCTGGTCATGGCCCTTTGGGACTTGAGTTGACCTAGAGGAAGAGGGAGCGTGACACTGGCCCCAAAGCATCGGACAGCAGGCATTCGGTTTGGGCGCATGGATGATTTCCTCCCACTCTCTGCCTTTCACACACCTTTGTTTCGCTTGTTCAATTTCACAAAACTTGACTGTGAACTACCCTGTTTCAGTGCCCTGGGTACCTGGGGCCGGATAGTGAACTAAGACAGATGTGTTCCCTGGTGGGCTGGCTGTCTAGAGGGATGCTAGGTAGATCAGGTTAGCACGTGAGCATGCTGTGAGGAGGTTGGGGCTGGCCAAGGCTGCAGGCTGCCTCATGGAGAAAACGCATTACTGACTTTAAGCCCACTTGGGCAGGTGAAGTCATGAGAACTAAGGGTAAAGGTGATCCTATCGGAGGGACTGCAGGAGGTTTTGACAGAGTTTGCTTTGGCAGGAGGTCTGCAGCTCAGAGCCTGTTAGCCTGGGAGGGAAATCCTTATCTGCATGGACCTCCTTTTCTGCTTCCAAACGCCCCAGGCCACAGCCCCACACTGAGTCTATAGGCTTCCTAAGGACTAAGGATGATTGCAGGCCAGTCCTGGGACACTAGCTAACAGATTCCGATTACGGAAACGATGACCGCCTTGTCCTTTCCAAAAGAAATAGGCAAAAGGGACTTTTAGAGCAAGTTGCTTGTTCCTGGCAGTACAGTCTACCTCCCCCACAGGTAGCAGCTGGCTGCAGTGCCTCTGACATCAGACAGCTGGAAGGGCCAGGGGAGTGGGATGACAAAGTTCTGAGCCAACTCCTTCTCAGTGTCCAATGTCCACTAGAAAGCCCAAGCGCCCAGGTCCCAAGGCCAAATGTGCCAACACTCCACGGGTCCCGTGGTCAGCACTAGTGCGGACCCTATCTGCCCAAGTCGACCACGCCCCCACAGCCTGATTCCTGGACTGTAGTTACATCAGGAAGGAAAATGATGGAGGGTCGGGGTGGTCAGAGCCGCTTTGTTTGCAGACAAGGAAACTGACACAGAGAAAAGCGGGCCTTCCTTTCTTGTGTATTCCCAGCCCAGTGTGGTCCCTCTCATCCTACATGGACTTATGCTGGGGTAAAGACCAGCCATGGCCCTGCACTCCCAAATACAGAGCCAGATGGGGGCCATCCAGTGGGCTCTGACTCAGGGACCCTCTTCCCGGTTCTGCACCACCCTCACTATTATTGCTGCGTTTGAGCGCATTCTTGCTGGCACTGTGCCAATCCACCTCATTGAAGCTTTTCCTCTTTTTCGCTGACTCTCCACTTTACCAATCAAGATGTCCTTCTCCAGGGACTGGTCCCTCCTGATCACATGTCCAGAGTATGTGAGATGAAATGTCACCATTCTCACTTCTAAGGCACCTTCTGGCTGTACTTCTCTAAGACAGATTTATGTTCTTCTGACAGTCCATGGTCTATTCAGTATTCTTTGCCAACACCATTCTAAGACATCAATTCTTTTTTATTTTAATGCTTTATTGTGAATTATGTGATAGTTTACATGGGAAGACATCAGCTTCACATTGATCCTGTCATATATCATTTCCTTGCCATGGTTACAATCCCTTCTATGCATCATCCATCAACCAAAGGGTACACCCCGCAAGCCTGCCCCATGGTCTGCATACCGCCCCTCTCTCTGTCTGGGTCCAAAGTCTCCAGCCGCTCCATCTCCCCATATCATCGTCTCTGCCTCCATCTCAGGCATCACTGCTACTCTGGGTAGGTCCCGCTCTCCGCTCTTCTTCTTTGATGGTCCCAGGGACCTCTGCTCCTAGACTGTAAGGTTAATCACTCTCCTCCCTTTGCCCCAAAATGTCCACTTTTACATTTCCATCCCTTACAATCAGTCCTGATAACAATTATTCGCTATTGTATCTCAAGAGACCTATCCACATCTCCTTTCATCAGCCCTGACTAGGCAGAATGGATACTACTCAGTGGAGACTCTACCTTCCTCCAGGCCCTCTGAATCTAGGTCCCCTCTTGAAAGCTTGTAAGCCAGTCACTTCTTGCCTCTGTAGCCCCCCCCCCCCCCATTCTGGGTATCCAATGTCCAAGCTGCCCATCCCTGTCCTCTCCGTGTGCAGAGGAGGTGGGAATGATCCTCTCTGTGAAGATTTGTTCCCTCTTTTGAGCTACTGCATCCATAGGTGTAGGTCAAGTGCATCAAATTGTATCAGATTACTCTTTTTTCCCTCTTCTTTCTTCTTCTGTTTGAGCTCTGATCAACCAGCCATTGAAGCCAGGTCAAGTGGGTTTTATCTGCAAGTGTGGGTGTACTTATGCATGTGCCTTATCTTCTTATCAGCTGGATGCTTCACTCTTCACTCTAGTCCTCTGTGGCTGTGTCGCTGACTCTGGGTCCAAGAATCCCCTGGACTTGGCACACTCCTAGCCAACCAGGTCTCCATCCGGGTTCACAGGAGTCTGTTGAATGTTGTAGGGCTTAGCTTGCAGCTTCATTGCTGATTTCCCCTCACTTCCCTTTATCAGTGACAAACGTGGTCAGCAATCCCACTGAGCATGCATTCCCACTGAGCCTTAATCTTAGAAGGGGTTTGCCCTGAGGGGAACCTGACCACTTGTCTTGATGTCTCCTGGGTGAGCCACTTGTTTGTTCGTGTAGTAATCAGTTGGCCTGCCTATATTGTTTTGTGTTTTTCCTGTCAGTCTTTCTTTCAGGAAGTGGACATCTCCCCTCAAAAGATTCTGGATGATGCTGTTCAGGATTCTACCCATGGTCTTGTGTAATGCAGAGGCTCCGCAGGAAGCCTCCTTCGCTGGGCATGTTGTATCCCC